CACACAACTCTGTAATTAATAACAAATGTGTATGTGTGTGTGTGTGTGTGTAGAATTGAAAGTTAGATCCCCTCGATTTCGAGAGGGGATGAGGAAGAGGAAAGATGATATAAGGACGACTATATAAGATAGTCTGAACGAGTTCACTAAAATAAAGAGTATCAAATCGAGTAATAAATACCGATGAGCGAAAAAAAAATTACGCATAGTTTCGATGAAAAATTATTTATTACAAGGCAGGTGTATATTCAGCCCGTGAACATATTTTCTATTGAACAGGATTCAACGACATTCCAATGGACCACGTCTTGTTGCATCCGTCATCATTGATACTTTTTGTCCCTACTCAAAAATTACACGTTTAACACGACTCGACTAATGACAAGGTGTAAATTAGAAATTCTATCGAATATGCAGCGAGAAGAGTGTCAATATGCAGAAAAAAAAATTTGCAAATGTTGAACCAAATTTGAAACCTGTCAGATCTTATTTTTATCGACACACTTACTATCGTCAGTGTGCTGTTAAAAATAAGATCTGACTATACTGCAAAAAAAATTCAGTTTTGTATCGAAGGAAAAATTAACACCCCATAAAAATAATTCGGAATATTTACTGGAGAGAATTTTTACTTTTACCCTGGGGTGAAATTTTGTAATTTGACTATGACTTCCTATTCGATTTGGACTTTGTCATTGATTTTCGTTTTAACATTGATTTTGACTTTAACTTTGAATTTGAAAATCGAAATTTGAATCATTAATTACTTAATGTAGGCTTCGCATTCATCTACTAAAATCAACTATTTTTTTACAATTTGCTACTATTTGGATACTTTTTAGATTTGTGACACTAAAACTTACTTTTTTATTCTTTTTGAAAATTAACACTATCTTAAATCCTCCAATAGGTGAAATAAAAAAGTATTCTCAAAAATTTTAATAAAATTCTTAGAAGGGATTAAATTTTTTTCAATAATATTCTTAGAAACAGTTTAACAACTTTTAATAAAATTCTTTGAAACAATTCAATTATTTTCAAAAATTGGAAAGAAATTTTTCTTAAAAATTCAATTATTTTCAATATTTACTATTTTAAAAAGATTTCACAAAAGAATTCAATTATTTAAGAAGAAAATTAAATAAAATTCTTCCTAAAAATTCAATTAGTTTCATCAAATTTTTACAGAAATTTAATTATGTTAAATACAATTTTAATGAATTTTTTTTAAAAGAAATTAATTATTTAAAAAATTTTTTTATAAAAAGCTCCAGAGGAAGTCAATTATTTTTAAGGATTTTAATAAAATTTGTTTATAAGAATTCATACATTTTTAATAGAATTGTAATTAAATTCTATGAAAAAAATTAATAGAATTCTTTGCAAGAATTCATTATTTTCGCAAATGATAAAATTCAATTATTTAAAACAAATTTTAATTAAATTCGTTTCATGAATTACATTATTTACAAAAATAAAAAAAATTCTTCGCAGGACTTTAATTATTTATAATACAAATTAAAATAAATTTATTGAGAAAAATGTAATTATTCTTAAAAATTTAATTAAAATTCTTCGAAAAAATTAAATTATTTATTAAAAAGTTAAATAAAATTCATCTGAAAAATTCGATTATTTTAATAAATAATAATATTTTTACAGAAATTCAATTTTTTAAAACACAATTTTCATAAAATTTTTTTTTTTTTTGAAAGAAATTAATGATTTAAAAAACTTTTTATAAAATGTTCCGAAAGAAATCAATTATTTTTAAGGATTTTAATAAAATTTGTTTACAAGAATTCATATATTTTTAATACAATTGAAATTAAATTCCTTGAAAAAAATTTAATAAAATTCTTTCCAAGAATTTAATTATTTTTAAAATTAATAAAATTCTTTCCAAGAATTTAATTATTTTTAAAATTAATAAAATTCTGAATAGAAATTCAATTATTTTCATAAATTATAAAATTTTTCGGAAAATTTCAATTATTTATTTATTTTTAATACAAATGAAAATAAATTTCTCAAAAAATGCAATATTGTTATAAATTTTATTGTAATTTTTCGAAAGAATTCAATAATTTATAAAATTTTTGATAAAATTCCTTATGAGAATTCAATTATTTTTACGAATAATAAAATTATTCGATTCGGAGAATTTCAATTATTTTTAATACAAATTAAAATTAATTGCTCCAAAGATGTAATTATTCTTTATTAAAATTCAATTTTAAGAAATAACTATTGTTCATTCAATTATATATTTTTATAAAATATTAAAAATTAAATTCTCTTAGAACTTTTTGACCATAATTGACATTAAAAGGAATTTCAGTTTAGATTTTAGATAATAAATCGAATATTAAAACCGTTTATAGTATAAATTTTTAGAAATAATTAAATTTCAAAAGATTTTCAAATTAAAATCTTTAAAAATTTTAATTATTGTAAAACTAATGATATTTAAATATTTATTTAACAAAAATTATTCAAGTTTTGAATAGTTTAATTTAGAAATTATGAAAGAAATAAATTACTCTTTTGAAAAATTGTAAATAACAATTTTTCAAAATAGTTAAACTTTCCCGTAAATAATTAACAGAAATTAAATTAAATTTCTAATTAATCGGAAATTTTCTCAAATTTAATAGAAATAAATTTGATATTCTTAAGAATTTTGTTTTTATTTTTAAAAATTATTTTGAAATTTAATCGTATTTTTGATAAATTTGAATAAAAAATTTGGAAAATAATTGAATTTTAGAAAAATATTGAATTGAAGTTAGATAAGGAAAAAAGAGAATTTTTTTTATAGAAATCAGGAGAAAGTCAGGGAAATACAGAAACAAAAATCAAACTCAAAGAAATAAAAAAAGATTATTCCACTATTCGATATAATTTTTCACATATTTAATAGTTAATATAATTCCTTTATTGATGTGAGAGATGAGATGGAAGGATACTGTTTGAAAAATTGAAATAACGTCTTAAGATTATATGAAAGGACCAGTTTTTGTAAAACCTGCTTTGAAAATATCATCGAGAGAGAAAGAGAGAGAGAGAGAGATTCATCCACATTTAATATGCATATTCACTGTGTGACTTATATAAAAAAATATACGAAAGCATTATTTCCTTCGACAAAATCTTTGAGCTAAAAGAGTCAAGATTGATGAGGCAACGAAAGAGAAGAAAGGGACGAAAGAGTTGGACGTCGCAGGGGACAAATATACATTAGCGCCATTAAATAAGGACCTCCTTGAAATGCAACGCGTCACCCTTGACGAGTGAGAGGGAATAGTCATTGGCAGGATTTTAAATCGTCTCTCTTTCCGACAGGAAACCAAACTTATCTCCCTCATGCATATGGAATCGTGCATGAATATATATACCCGTATACCACTGATATTGTCATCGTGAAATATACGAAACATTTTTTATTTCAAATATATTCGCAATTTTTCTTATATATTCTAGTTACCCCATTGTAACGATATTTGTTCAATTTTTTTTTCACCTCTCCAGCTACTCGTTAATCAGTCTCAATGTAAAAAGAGAATACAATAAAAATGCTTCAAAAATCACAAAAGAAATATTTGCAACTCGAAATTCTAGAGAAATTAATTGCTTTTTCTTTTATTTTATTAAAAATTTATTAAAAATGTTAAATAAAAATTTTGTATTTTATTAAAAAAAAATGTATCCACTTTTTTAAATTATCATTTCTACGAATTTCTAATAAATTTTCTTTAATTTTCCAGTAAAATTTTCTTCTATTCTATAACTAAAAATTAGAAACGAAAACATTTTTTCTAAATTCATCATTATAAATAACAAACGAACAAAAAAAATTTTTGAAAGAAATAAAAACAATATACAAAAACGTTCATTTTTTAAAAAGAAAATTAATTATTTATTGGGAAAATTTTTTTTACAATTGTACATGAACGATGAGTAAACAAGGATAAAATTTATTTTGAAAAAAATTCAAAACGAAAACAGAGATATTGAAAAAAATTTAAATATTTATATTAAAAATGCGCACACAAAATAAAAGAGGAAAAAATTTACAAAAACATTTATAAAATAAGAAAAAACATTCTTATGGTATTAAAATTTTCATTATTGAATTTTAGTTACACAATTATTAAAATAATCGTTGAAAAATTTCCGAGTGTAAAAATGTGACAATTTTTTATAAAACGTCAACGAAAAAAGTTTTGCTTTTAAAGAAGATTTTTATAGTCTTAAGAAAATTGGTAAAATTACTTATTTATAAGAATTACAATGAAATATAATATTTTCTCACGTATTGAAAATATTTAATATCTTATAGTGAGAAATTAAATTTAAAATTGTAAAATAAAATGAAATTTTCACGAGCGTTTTGAATGAATTTTTTTTTACTCTTGTAAGTTATAATTTTTGTTCTAAGTGTCAATAACCAAAAGATTGTGCAAGTGATCGTTATCCGGTAAGTTATTAATAATTGTAAAAATTAATCAATTAAATTTTGTAATTAATTTTTTTCCTCATAAAATAAGGAATTAAATAATTCATTTAATTTTGCAAAAAAGTTCAAGTACAAAAAAAAATAAATAAAACTAACATTACTTTCAATAGTTTTTTAATAAAATTTTAATTTACTAAAAACATTTTACTTCTCATTTTAAATTTGGTTATTAATGCCAAAAAAATTTATTCCATCGATTAGAATTTTTTTCCAATTTTAACAACATAAAAATAAATAAAATTAATTTTAAATAAAAAAAGAAAAATAAATTTAAGTCTAAAAATAAATTTTAAAGAAATTTAAATATTGACATTTATTCCCCAACTGAAAATTCGAAAAAGGAAAAATATAACAAAAACATTTTTGTAGAATGGAAAAAAAATTCTCATTATTAAAAAAAAAATGCAAATAAATATCAATTTTTTATCAGTATATAAATCGTGACAATTTTTTATTAAACGTCAATTATAAAAAGTTCCAAAGAAGAAGAAGAAGAAAACTGCGATCTGAGCAATAATTGAAAAAGGTAAAATTATTTATAAATTTTGCAATAAAAAATATCTTCTTAATAGTAAGAAGTTAATTAGAAATTTGAAATAAAATAAAATATTCACAATTTTTTTAGATGAAACTTTACACTATTCTCCTTTTGTGTATTACACTTTTTGTTTTGACTGCCAATGGCCAAGGATGTGTAGGTGAAGGTGATTTTGTAAGTTACTAACTATTTTAAATATAAACCTATATCAATTTTTTTATCCAGAAAAATAAAAAAAATTTCCTTTTAATTTTGCAAAAAAACAAGAAAAAATGTTAAGTATTTAAATTATTTTTTTAAACTACCTCTTTTAATTAATTTCTAAAATATATTAAATTATTAAAAATATTTTACTTTTTATTTCAGTGTGGCGGATCTCGCCGTTGTTGTTGGCGTCTTAAATGCAAGAGTACAATATGTCAAAGAATTTGAGGTGGTTAATCTAATCAAAATTTTAATTCTAAATAATAAATGTAAATAAAAATAGCACAAATTTTCTTTACTAAAATTTTCATTGATAATGTACTTTTTTTTAATAATAAAAATAAAAAAAGGAAAAATATCCATTTTATAATTCTATTTTTATATAAAAAAAAACTTAAATAAATAAATTGATAGGTCAATTCAAATTTTCAGAATGATTGAAAAAAAAAATTTTAATTCTAAACAACATTATTTGATGTCAAAAAAAAAATTTGCACAAATTTTTTCTCTTAACAAAATTTATTGAAAACAAAATGTTTTAAAGAATAAAAAACGACAAAAAAATATTAATCTTTTAATTTTCCTTTTACACAAAAAACATAATTGAAAATAACAACGCAATAATATGAATATTTGTTAAACATTTCCGAGTATATAAATCGCGAATAATTTTTATTTGTCGTCAATTTTAATTTAGATTTCAAAGAAGAAATATCTACTTGTGAAACAATAATAGGTACCTAATAAAAAAATGGTAAAATTACTTACAATAATTTTAAGTAAAAAAATACCTTTTAATTAGTGATTAAAATTTGAATTTAAGTTCTCTATTTTATTTATAATCGCGATTTATTTTTTATTTATATTCACGATTATTTTAGCTGAAACTTTACACTATTCTACTTTGGTGTGTTGCACTTTTCCTTTTTTCTGTCAATGGCCAAGAATGTGTAGATGAAGGTGAATGGGTAAGTTATTTAGGATTTTTAACAATATAGAAAAAAAAATTGTATTTTACTTTTCATTTTTTTAATCAAGTTAAAGTATAGCAAATAAAAAAAATATAACCATTACTTTTAGTAATTAATTAAGTTTTAATTTGAAGTGCGTTCGTCGCAGTTGTTGTCAAGGTCTGCGATGCTTTAATGGAAGATGTTTAAAAAGAAGGAGCAGTTAATCAAACGTTTGGCCAGACAATCAAATTTTCAATTCTAAATAACATTTGCTTGTTAAGTAAAATTCTCCAAGCTTTTCTTTTAAAATTTTTTAAGTAATGAAGCTAAATGAATTTATATTTAAATATATAAAAAAAAATTGCTAGGCATACTTATATTGGTTTTACTCCAATTTTCAGAAATGTTAAAAAAAATAAAACCTAATTGTTCCTATTTTTAATTCTAATATAATAAATAAAGAAATAAATAAAATGAAATTAATTCAAAATTTTAGGATTGAAAAATAAATAAAATAGCAAGGAGTGTGTCAATGTTTAACATACAAAATTCAATTATTTGAATGAAAATTTTTTTTATATTAAACGCCAACTAAATGAGGATAAAATAAATGTTCAAATAAAAGAAACAACAAAATTAAAAATATTGTTAAAAAAATTTAATATTGACATTAATTTTCCAACTGAAGACTCAAAAACGGAAAAATATTGCAATAACAACAGATTTTTAAAGAAAGAAAAAACTTTCAATATTGAACGAAAATAATGCAATTCAACAAATAAATAACTGAAAATTCGAAAACGGAAAATTAGAGCAAAAATATTTTTAAAGAAAGAAAAAAATTCTTATTATTGAAAAAAATGCAAATAAATATCAATTTTTTGTTAGTATTTAAATTGGAACAAGTTTTTTATTACACATCAAATTACAAAAGTTTGGTTTTAAAAGAGGAAAAACGACACGAGCAATAACTAAATAAGGTAACATTTTTTTATAACTTTTTCAATAAAAAAATGCTTCTGATTATTGACGAGAATGCAATTAGGAATTTAAAATAAAATATTCACGAACTTTTTACATTAATATAAAATGTAAAGAATTTTAAGTAATAAAGACAAAAAAAAAGAAAACTATCCATTTTCTACTTTTATTTTTACCCAAAAAAATAATAATAAATAAATTAACATTGCTGCGGCGATTAATTCTAATTTTCATAATGATTATTAAAAAAAATAACAAGTAACTGTTTTTACAGTCATTATTTACTTATTATTTAATTTTCGTTTTTTATAACATAAAAATTTAATAATTGCATTGAAAATTATTTGTTATAATTTTTATAAATTAACGACAACTAAATAAGGATAAAAAATTAATTTACAATTTAAGAAAAAAGAAAACAAAACTGAGATATTTTAAAGTAGTTTAAATATTGACAAAGAACAGTTCAACTGAAGATTCAAAGACGGAAAAATATTACAAAATCAACAGATTTTTAAAGAAAGAAAAAAAATTCTCAGTATTGAACAAAAGTAACGCAATTCAATAAAAGAAATAATTGACAATTTCTTCCGAGTATATAAATTGTGAAAATTTTATGTTAAACAACAATCTCAACTAAGGTATTAAAGAAGTGTAAACAAACCTGAGCAATAATTAGAAAAGGTAAAATAAATTAATAAAATTATTTATAAAATTAATTAATTTATTTATTAATAAAATTAAATAAAAAAAATTTCCCCGAACTTTTTAGATGAAACTTTACACTATTTTGCTTTTGTGCTTTACACTTTTCGTCTTGAGCGTCAATGGTCAATGTGCGAATGATGGTGAAAGGGTAAGTTATTAATTTATTGTAAATATTAAAATATTATTATTTTTCTACCTTGTAAAATAAAACAAATTTACATTTTTTTTTGTTCATTTTGCAAATAAGTTAAAGTGACAAAAGAAAAATATTATAAGTTTTACCTTTAGTTTTCTAAAACACAAATTTAATAAAAATGTTTTGTTTTTAATTTCCAGTGTAACAAAGCACGATATTGTTGTGGGAGTCTTGTATGCGTTAATAGAGTATGTTTAAGACGAAGAGATAATTAATATGCGTTTGACAAGGCAATCAAAATTTTAATTCTTATTTAAAGTGACTTGATGTTAAAAAAATGTACACAAATTAATTTTTTTAAATAATTTTGATTATTATTTCACAAATCAATATTGTAAAAAACTAATGTTTTAAAAAATAAAGATAAAAATATTAATGTTCTAATTTTATTTCAACAAAGAAAAGTGATAAATAAATCTAAAATGGCGGAAAATTAAAAAATTAATACGTTTCTATTAAAATGCGTTACTCGGGGGTAAAAAAAAATCTGCAAAAGGAAAAAAATTGAAAAAATTGTATATCTTTTTAGCACTAAAATTTATTTGTTAGAAATGTAACTATTTAAATAATCGTCATATATTTATTTAAGTTTACTATATATAAAGTGAGAAAAAAATTTCTTTAGCATAAATTTCAGGATTTTTTTCAAAGAAGATAATAGATCTGCGAGTAAAACAATAAGAAAAAGGTAAAATTACTTTGCAATAAAAAAATTAAAACAGTAAATTTTTAATTTAATCGAATTGTAAATAACAACAAACTTTGAAATTTATTATTTAATATTATAACTGATACTATTTAAAAAATACCTCCTCAATATTGTCAGGAATGTAATTGTGAATTACGAATTTTAAATAAAATAAAATATTTCAAATCGTTTTAGATGAAACTTTACACTATTTTCCTTTTTTGTGTTTCACTTTTTGTCTTGACCGTCAATGGTCAAGGATGTGAATAAATATTTAAAATAATTTCAATGTAAAACATTTTTGAAATTTAATTATTTCTTATATTATTATTAAATTACATTTGTAATTATTTCAAAATTCAATAATTTTGTTTTAATTTTTAAATAAAATTATTCAAAACTTTAATCATTTTTTAGGAAAATAATAAATTAAGAATTTTTTAAATTAAATATGTTTAAATATTATTACAGTTATACAACAATTAATACTTTCAAAGACAGACAATTTAAAATCTTTTGAAATTTATTATTAAATTTATTTACTTTTAAAAATTCATACGATAACGCTTCTAAAATGTTGAATTATTATCTAAAATTGAATTTGAAATTTATTTTTAATCCAATTTTATTGTTAGAAAGTGCTACGAGAATTCGAATTATTATTAACATTTAATTACTAATGTTCAATTATTATCTAAAATTTTATCTGAAACTTATTTTTAAATTAATTCTTGCCTGAAAGATCTACGAGAATTCAATTATTTAGGTAAACACCAAAATAAACAATTGATTATTTTTTCAAATTAAATTCTTGTAAAGTATTTTATCAAAATTTTTAAAAATAATTGAATTTATAAAAAAAAACTTTAATTTAATTTAATTTTTTAATTTTAATTTTTAATTTTTTTTTTTTTTTTTTTTTATAAAAAAATTTTAATAAAATTTCTAAAAAATAATTAATTGCATTTTTTGAGGCAATCATTTGAAATTATATTCAAGTTAAAAAATAATTGAAATCCCACAAAGAATTTTATTATTCATGAAATAATTGAATTCTTGCGACGATTTTTAATAACATTTTTTTAAATAATTGAATTTTTTGAAGAATTTCTTATTAAAAATTGTGATAATAATTAAATTCTTTCGAAAAATCTAATGAAAATTGTATTCAAAATAATTCAATTCAAATAATTCAAAATTAAAAACAAATTAAATTAAATTTTTTTTAAATAATTGATTTCTTTACGAGAATTTACAATAAAATTTTTAAGTAATTAATTTCTCTCAAAACATTTTGAAAAAATTGCACTTCAAATAATTGAATTTCTCTGAATATTTTATTATTTATTAAAATAATTGAATTTTCAAGAAGAATTTTATAAAAATTTGTTTTTAAATAATTGAAATTTTATTAAAATAGTAGATATTAATAATAATTGAATTCTTGGAAAAAATTTGTTACAATTTTTGGAAATAATTGAATTGTTTCAAAGAATTTTATTAAATTTTTTTTAATTGTTTCTAAGAAGTTTATTTAAATTTTGCAGTATAATTATTTTATTTCAATTTTTAGTGGATTTAAAGTTGTGTAAATTTAAAAAAAAGAAAGAAGTGGCCTTTAGTGTCACAAATGTAGAAAAAGTATTCTAATAGTAGCAAATCGTAAAAAAACTATTAAATAGTAGGTTTTAGTAGATGAATGTGAAGCTTGTACTGGAGCACGATTTTTTTATTTGACTTTCGATTTTCATATTGTGTTTGATGTTATTTTATGATTTTAATTTTTCCTCTAACTTTGAGTTTGATTTTGACTTTAACTTTGCAATTTAAGGGGAAAGTGAAAGTGAAAGTCAATGTGAAAGTGAAAGTAAAAATGAAAGTGAGAATGAAAATGAGAGTCAAAGTCAAAGTCAAAATCGATTCGAAAGTCAAAGTAAAATTACAAAATTGCTCCTCTATTAATTTAAATTATTTCCAGCCTAGGAAATAATTTGCTACGTGAAAAAATTTTTTCCAAATAAAAAATTAAAATATGCCTATATAAAATAAACATAAATTGCAAATAAACTTTAATGTCCCGATAAAATGAAACAAAATCAGGGTCCAGAAAGATATTTTCTTTTTACTATCACAGTCTAATTTCATCCTATTCATTCACCCTTTGAAAATGTTCATAGGGTGAGTCCTAGTAAAATTTTCTTAAAATCAGAATGCTATTCTTCAAAAGTGGTTTTACAGTCATAATGTTCGAGGCACAATCAAAAAACATATCTAACAACAACCTTTCTCTATTTTTTCCCTCATCCTCCCTCCTCTTTCTCCTTTCCATTCTTAAGATTCTGAGTCTTATATTCGTGTATGTATTATTATTATTATTATTATTATTATTATTATATAGGAGTGCTGGCAATTATTACTGCGAAAGGAGTAACGAGCAAGGAGTAGTTGAGGCCCCCCTAGTGAGCAATAACAAGATGCCCTTCTCTCGCAATGCTTATTATTCGGACTCCCGTGGGTCTGACAGTGAAATGTAGAAGACGCAGAATCAAGTCTTTGAGACAAGGTCTTTTATAAGTGTATCCCTTGGCCCCTGACTTCTCAGATTTCAGGAGCTCTTCCTTCTGCCTTCATTGTGATGCACTGCTCGCCACTTTAGGTCCATATTAAAATTGAAAAACCCTCGCAAATCATTTTTCCAAAAAGAAAAGAAAAAATTGCTCTCGGGACATTTATCGTAATTGTTACAATAATTATTATTTTGTTTCCCTGTTTTTTGTTTTTAAAAAATATTTGCTGTTTTTAATAAATTAATGCTCAACTTTAATCGTGACACAAAAAATTATTCTCATAGTAACATAGTAACATTAACATTAACATAGTAACAGTAACATTTTTATTTTTGAATGTAAAAATGTTTTCGAAGAAAAATATAAAATGGTGGTTAAGTCTCCCCACTTGAGAACGCCAAGGTCGCCACCAGGTGGCAAGAGAAATTCCAAGAAAGAACTCAATTGCCATCTAGCGGTGACCTTGGCGTTCGCAGGTGAAGAGTAGCTTCGCCATATTGAATCTCAAGATATTCGTAATTCTATGTATATAATTAATTAGAGACATTGAATCTAAAGAAAGAAAAGAATAAAAGATTCTTATTAATTTTCTATTTCATTATTCCTATTAATTTATTAAATAAAAGAAAACTGAATATTTTTGCTAAACTCTATTGATATGAAAGAAAGAAAGAAAGAAATTTTTCCAATTTTTTCTTTTATTTATTGCCGTATTTCTTCCAATTAAATTGCGTCCAAGAATCATTAATTTCCGTCTTCGGGCGAAATTGTCAACAAGATTGAAGTTAATTAAAATTACTGATGAAACAATCGGCACGGGGTTTTTGAGAGAAACTCGACTCTTGGGCCAGGCAGGGTAAGAAGAAACATTGTTGGGATGAGTGCCGACTCCTGAAAGTTTCCCTCGATTGACCGTGACACGATAATGTGTCCGTTCGTCGAGAGAAAGAGAGAGAGAGAGAGACAGACCCTTTTCCACTGGGAGCCAATCAGAGGAGGACTAGTGCAAAAACGCGGATTTATGACCAAGAGGCGGTTCAGAAAAGAAGACCTTGGTTAGAGACCCGCGCCACACCGCAATTACTTCGCGGGTTCCAAGCCGCACCGGGGACGATTTTTTTGTATTTTTTTGTTTTTATTTTTTTTGTCGGCGTGCTAAGTGTGTTCCTTAATTGAATTTAAGGTTATTTAATATGCTTTTAGCTGGCTATCGCGATGGCTTACGTACTTGTGGAAACCATTCTCGTATCCTCCAATATCCCTTCTGATCTATACGATCAAACACGAAATTCACTTATTTTTCTTCTTTTTGTCGCGCATTGGGAGAAGAAAGGAGAAAAAAAGAAGAGAGAGTATCCCGAAAGATTAATACATATTTATTGAATGTTTCGCGCGTTAAAATTGTTCTTTTAATGGAATTATTCTGTAGTTTCAATCTTGTTTGATTTTTCAGAATTTGCAATCCTCAGGAATTTGAATTACATTTTTGGGGGAGAAATACGATTCTCCTAAAGTAAGAATGTCGATTTTTAGATTTTTTAGACTGAAAAATAAATTTTACCTTCAGCTCTATAATACTTTTGACTGAATTCTAGACTTGAGAGTATAAAAGTAGTTCCAAAATTGACAACGAATCTATAGGTCTAAGCTAAGAATTAGGCTCCTTTTTCTATTTTATAGTTCTAAATATTTAATTAAATTATTTTAATAAAATTTCACGACAGAATTTAATTATTTAAGAATTTTAATTCAAATTCTTCCCAAAAATACTAAAATATTTATAGAAATTCAATTATATTCATATATTTAAAAGAAATTTTTCTCAAGAATTTAATTATTTTCACAAATATTAAAATTCTTCACAGAAATTCAATTATTTTTATAAATAAGTAATCAAATTCTTAGGAGGACTTCAATTATTTTTACTACAAATTAATATAAATTTTTCGAAAAATGCAATTATTATTACAAATTTTATTAAAATTCTTCGAAAAAATTCAATTAATTATAAAATTTTTTATAAGAAATCCATTATTTTTATAAATACGAAAATTTTTACATAAATTCAATTATTTTCAAATATTAAACTTCTTCACAGAAAT